GCCTTGACTCTCCTGCTCGAACTCGTTCATCAAAATGAACAAATCGTTTTTCGAGTCATGACTCGAAGGGTCCTAGATAAGACCCCTATTCATCGTCTGGTGTCGTTTGAAGCTGCACTGAAACTCTCATTTGGACCTTGAAGCGTTTGGTTCCCAATGAAGTCTATTATAAGGAGAAAATCCTGGAATGTTTCCATCAAAAACCTTAATTTCTTTCCGACTGAAGAATGACAGACGTGGACATCTTGGATGACATGGGGGTGAGTCAATTATCAGCAAAAGTTTTTTTTAAAGTGAACTACTCCTTTAATAGTTTGTGAAGTGTGTAAACGGCTGAACCCCCTCGAGAATAAACCGTCAGGGTTTTCTATATCAGTAACATTTCAGTGACTTGTAATTGTATCATTGCTTCAAATTGTTTGTGATGATTGATTTTATTTTCTGTATATATTGTTTTGGAAGGCTTTATGAACCTAACACATGGCAGTTTTTTGTAAATCCCAGACAGATCTCGATGGCACGGCAGGCCAGAGTCAGTAATGTCGGCTGAAATCAGGTTTCTAACGGTTTTAAATGAATCCTTATACTCTCAAATTTAACAATGTACTTTTTGGCACTAAGTGACACTGCTTTTTATGTGATGTGTGACCAGTTTTAACTGAGATGGCATCTGTTTAATGCATAAAAATCTGCGAAATATATGCAATGATGTATGTGTTATATTCAATCCTCAAGTATAATCCAGGTTGTATAAACTTTGTATAGTACGTTTTAATATCGTATGGCCGTACGCCCGTACCAATATGTATTAATTCTTCTCAGAAGCCTTAGAGTCGTCTACCCAAAGTGCTCCCTTAGCCTACCCTACACCTACCTGAACTTCACAAAGCATTAATAACTATATTTTGTTGCGTTTTTATTTGTACCCTTTTTTTGAATAAAATAGATTTGTACTGTATATTTGTATCTCTCTGTGAACTACTTAGGGCTGTTTTGTTTTTATGTTTTCCTGTTTTAATTCTATGTAAGGACACAAAGATATTGTATTTTTATTGTTACAGCTAACTTCTTGGAAACATTGCATTTATCATGTTTGTTAAGTAAACGCAATATAATATATATATATATCTATATAATATTAACATGCTGGCTTGACGTCTGTTTTTCTTATGCGTTCCATTCGATTAGTAAATTGTAATACATTTTAAAAAGGGTTGGAAAAGTGCATTGATGCATCTGATGAATCCGGTGCATCAATAGAGTTTAATAATAGATTGATTACAATGATATCCAATGTAGTATGCATTATTATTATTTTTTAATCTGAAATACAAACTTTTGAGTCTGTGAATGTACAATTGCTCTTGGTTTTCTTTAAAAAAATGTTTAAAGATTACTGAATCAAACCATGTTGTGATGAAATTCCAGATGAAATACAAATATTTTAATGGGGTCTAATAGTGTAGTAGTGAAAATGATAATGCATTTTGCTTTTTTGATGTCTATTTTCCCCACAGATAATTTTATCAGCACGCCCATTTATGAATACCACATTTCCAATATGCTCTCGGATGTTTTAATCTCACTTGACGTGTGCACATTTTATTTTTTAAAAGAGAAAGACAGAAACAAACTCTTAGCAGTAAAGTCAATGTTTATTCCACATTCTGTTCCTGCTTTAATGATGATTTTTCAATCTGTTAACCCAATAACAGAGCATGGCTTTCTGAATAGGACAGGATTTGGCGTTGTTGTGACCAGTGCTATTCTTGTCACTTTATAAGGTTTCAGTCATTTTGGCCTTTTAGAGAGTTGTAAACATTATCATGAAAATATCTAGATTGGAGAAAAAAAGGCAAGTAATTACTGGACTCCAATCCTTAATGAATAAATGCATTAACATGTAGTTTATAACATGCAAGTTCCATTGCCAGGGGTTCACTGACTTGTATGCACAAATATGTCAAAGAAAGCATGTCAAATGGTTATGCATGCCACTAAAATATAGTTTAGGAATAATGCAGACTAAATAGGGTTAATGTTTGAAAATACTCTTTTTATAATTTATCCTCAAAATAGACAAAGGATCCTCTCTACATCTCATTCAACAGAGAATCGTTAGATTTTCTCATTGCATTGGGATGTTTTTTCTCAACTTTGATGCTACTGTATGATATAAATAATGAATTTCAGGGAATTTGCCATAAAAATTGCATTGTTCTTCCTGAATGTGCATACATTAACTCGATTAAATGAAAACCAAATTATGGATGGATCTCATGGTCGAGGATTACGGACTTGACTGTCAAGAGTATAGCCTGAGGTTTGTGATCTGGAGCATTTGAGTCCATTTACTTTCATATCAACTGCATAGTAGTAATACAAAGTTTCTTGAGTACAGCTCTCAATTGCATAGTGATGCTTCATCACATGTACATTAAATCCATTTCTTTTCCTTAAGGAACCAATAACGTGGGACCAGAATCCAGTCGCCTTCACCCGTGTGGAAAAGCTCAGCTGCTTCACTTTGAACAGTAGAGGTATCTCTAAAGATGGTAATGATAACATTGTGAATTTAAAACACTGGAATGTGCATCATTCAATGTAATAATAAATAAATTGTAATAAGAATGAAATATAAGACATACATATCATACACAGTCTACCCTGTTTCCAAGAGGTACTTCCAGATGTACAGTGGTACGTTTTAACACGACTGACTCTTCCGGCTCAATGAAACACTAGCTTAAAGGTGATGTGTGTAATGTTCTCCCAACTTTTTGCAGAGTGGTTCTCAAACTGTGGTTACGACTTTAGTCAAAAAGACCTAAATAAATAACTTATAAGATGCACCAACATTGAATTAATCAAATAATTAACATTTATTTTAAGATAAGTCTTAAATGATAAACGTGTCAGTGTACATAAGCGTTTGGTCTAATTTCTTGGCAAGCAAACAGTTGGCTCATTTAAGTTTATTAGCTAAAAGTTTCAGTCCTTTCCATAAAATAAGAACAACAGCCTTCTGGAAAATGTATCGAACTGTGGCTCAAGACAGAATCAGTGAAAAGGACATTGAATAAGATCCCTGTTCTTTTCCTTTCACTCTTAAGGCCAATTTATACTTCTGCGTCAAGGGTACTCTGTGGTGTACGGCGTAGGCTATGCACATAAGGCCAATTTATACTTCTGCGTAGGGTTCGCGCAGTAGTAACGGCGTAGCATACGCACAGACGCGTCCCATACCGCGTACCCTTCCGCGTTGCCTGACGCGCACCTCTTCAAAAATGTAACTACACGTCGCGACGACGCGGACCGCAAGATCGGTGATTGGTCGGCTTGGTAGCATCGTATTTCCTCATACGCATTTCCGCACGTACCTTCTCACGCATTTCCACACGTACCATCTCCTCCGACGTCTTCTCTCATTTCTGCCTTTCAGTTTTAGTAATTTCACTAAAATGAACTGTTTTTCCACCCCAATAAGCTCCAACTCCAACATGATCCGCTCTCTTTCAGTCGCTATTGCTTGTAGTAACCTAGCCGCGAGGAATCTAAACACAGTGGAACATTAAAACCCTCTGCCGCCAACTAGCGTTTCGGAGCAGTACTGCAGAGCAACCAAGACTTGAACGGAGAAGTATAAATGCTCACGGCGGCGTCATCTAAAGGCCAATTTATACTTCTGCGTCGAGGGTACGCCGTAGTGTACGGTGTTGGCTTCGCACGTAGACGACGCCGTTGTGAGCATTTATACGTCTGCGTTCAGGTATTGGTTGCGCTCCAGTACTGCTCCGAAACGCTAGGAGGCGGCGGAGGGTTTTAATGTTCCACTGTGTTTAGATTCCTCGCGGCTAGGTTACTACAAGCAATGGCGACTGAAAGAGAGCGGATCATGTTGGAGTTGGAGCTTATTGAGGTGGAAAAAAACAGTTAATTTTAGTGAAATTACTAAAACTAAAAGGCAGAAATGAGAGAAGACGTCGGAGGAGATGGTTCGTGCGGAAATGCGCAGGACGATATACGATGCTACCAAGCCGACCAATCACAGATCTTGCGGTCCGCGTTGTCGTAACGTGTAGTTACGTTTTTGAGGAGGTGCGTGTCAGGCTACGGCAAAGAGTAAGCGTTATGGTAGCCTACGCGTCTGTACGTACTGCGCGCACCCTACGCATAAGTATAAATTGGCCTTGAAAACGTTTGAGAAACACTGCTGTAAACTAGGGGTGTAACTGTAAACAAAAATCACGGTTCGGTACGTACCTCGGTTTTAAAGTCACGGTTCGGTACGTTTTCGATACAGCAGAAAGAAAGAAACGCCAGAGAAATTTCCTATTTGTTAAGAGAAAAAAAAGTTTTTAAATAAGTTTAAGTTTTTCCACATCTTGGGGGTCATCTTTGAAGGATGAGCAAATAATGTTTTGGTCATCACATTAAAAATAACATTTAAATATATATTTATTTATATAATATTTGAGTTTTGAAGTGCTGGAAAAGGATGTGTGAAGTACTTGAAAGTATTTCACTATTTCAACCAAACTGGTTACAGTTAGTGTTACTATATTAAATCCATGGTGAATGTTGCTGGTCTGTGGATGGATGCAAGGTATTACTAGTTCATTCGCGGCACAATGTTTCTCTGTTAGCGCTGTTTGTTGATCTAATAGAGATCTACGGTTAATAACGGAGAAATGTGAATGCTTCTCACTAGATCTCGCAGCGATGTTATTACTTATCGAGATCGGCTCGCGCACAGATGTTGCTGGTCCGAACTGATAAACGATCCGTGAAGCACATAATGAGTAGCGCAGTTTCGTTCCGCTTGCCATTTGATGTTGCGCAACGTTGTGGTGGCTGCGCCAGCGTGAATTTTGTCGGCAGGAAAAATGGTCCAAGGAATCGTTCGGTTTGTATGCGTACCGAAGCGAAACGGTTCAATACGAATACATGTACCGTTACACCCCTACTGTAAACACTGGCTCTGTGGCGCTTTTGCTCTGTTTGTAGGGAGTTACGTGTTAACCTTTTGGATCGGTTTGAAATTTGGGGTGGGAGTACCTATCTCAACAATGGAAGACAGGGGGCAAAGAAAATACACACTTCCCCTTTAAATTAGAGTGAAACATTTTGTAATGTGTATTTACCTTGTTATTTCCATTTTTAGCATACACATGCAGCATTATCACTGCTTCATTTACGAGGGATTTATCTCTGGAAGTTTTCGTCCTGATCGTTTCGTTGTACATGCATTCGCTAAACCTTTACATCATTGCACATCTCATAAAAATAGCACACAATCATTTAAATCATTAAATATAAAACCAAAGCACAACTTTCCAGTGACAAAGGCAACTTTTTTTTTTAATTTGTACACTACTTGTGTTGCCATTAAGATCGAGCACACACTAAGTGCCTCACCATTAACAACAAGCATTCCCAGGTCCAATTCAGGACGACATGACTTTAAAGAGGTAAAATACACATTATACAGTACAGTGACAGCAGCAGAGGGCAGAGACTGGTTGGTTGGTTAGTTGAGATGTAATGCAGTTATGTAAAATCCTTATCGACATTTTGGCTCAGGTGAGGAGTTTGCGGTCTGAATAAGAGAAAAAAAGGCCAATGTGACCAGTAAAAGTGTGTATAAGGTAGTATCTGATCTGAGACATTTATGATGATAATGAAGAATTAGGAATAGGAGGTCTCCTGCTCCTCTGTTCTCAGGCTGTGAGGATGCCGATGATCCACACCATCCCTGAGTTCCTAGCAAAAAAAAACAACCCGTGTAGCATTGTGATAAGGTATAAAGCCTTTGGGAGGTCAGAGAAGTGTGTCTGAATGTGCTTCAGTAATTAACAGTACATCCACAGAGATGGACGCCTCCTTTTGAAAAGGACAACATCTCCAATAGAGGTTTTTCCCAAACGGCACCCTCACCCCTTGGAGTGTGCACGCAAATAGTCCGGGTGCACTCAACTAAAGGGTGCAATATTGGTGGCAAAGGTGGCATCCTTGTAAATCTTGATAAATGGGACACCATATGGTCTCGTGGAAACAAAACCGTATAACGAAAGACAAGGAGACCACAAGCCCACAGATTTCACCATTTGGATGAGTGGCATTCAAACAGCATTTAAAGTGTTGTGGTTTCAGCAAACAAGTAGGACAATGATAATAGTAGGGGTGTCCAATCCTACTCCAGGAGAGCCACCATCATCTCTAATCTGCTCCAACACGCCTCTCTTGAGGTTTCAAGTAACGCTGAATGCCGCGATTAGGTGGTTCAGGTGTGTTTAATTTAGGGTTGTGGATGAACTCCTCCAGGAGTAGGTTTGGACTCTCCTGGACTTTAGTAGGTGTTGTAATAAGGAACGTTGAGTCAGTGTGTGTGGTCCTGCACGGCCCCTGTGGTCTCGGTCAAGGCCACAGGTGTGACTAGGCCATGCAAAGAGCCCATGGTGAGGTAGTTGGTTCTGTGAATATGAGCTAGTAGTGACCCAATCTAGGGTCCTGGGAGATGAGCCATAGTTGCAGGTAAACTCCAACCTTTTAGACGGGCAAATTCGAACCGTAGGCTGAGTGTGGAGTGTGGCTACACGTCTCACTCCTGTCACTGTAGGTCTGTGTGCAAACAGAGAACCTCCTTGTGGAAAGGTCTCACTGCTCTGAAGAAAGATGGCTGAGAGTCTGAGCCTTGAAAAGTAAGTAGACAAATCTTGCTTACATGCTTACAGACAGGGAAACATGTTTGCCTTGTTTCCCTTCTGTTAATATAACTTCAGTTAATTGTGTAAATCAATTTATGTTACATAAATCCACAAAGGGTTGTCACACTGACGGCAAATAAATTTCGTACGAGGATGTCAGCAAGTCGCCATTCTGTTGGCTGCTAGAGGGCGTTCTATTTGACTGGTGGTGATGGTAATGGACTCCAGTGCCTCGGCCCCATTTTTCCGATGGGAACATCATCTCAGCCTTATTTCAAAGTTTCACTGAAGTCATAGCTAAAGGGATGAGGCGGGTTCTCAAAAATGTCATCATAGTCTCCTAAACATTGCTGAGCACTGGTTTTAAGGAGGTTTATTTCTTCTTGCTCTTGATTACCGTAACCCGCCACCCTCGGGGGTTCAGTGCAATTGCCTGCCCTCGTCTGTCCAGTAGAACCACTTCTGTACTGCAATATCCAGTGGTTTTAGGCAGCGAATCATGTGAGCATCTCTGTCTACACTCCCAGTGGTAGTCGCCACGTGTTGCTGAAGTTGAAACTATGCTCAACATTGTTGCTTTGGAACTCGCGTTGCATCGAATCTCTCGTCGAAAATGAATGACATCTGGTACCTACATCACTTCAAATGGCTGTCAGGGTGAGCGCCTCCTTGAAACTGCAAGAGCATAACATTCTCATCACAGTTCTAGTCAAGCTAGTTATTCTTTTAAAAATGCCAAGATCTTCTCAAATGCCGGTTTGAGAGATGTTTGGACCTGTGCTTGTTAGGGAAGCTTCATAAACAGTCCATTGTCCATGGAGGGGACAGACATGGGGAAGGAAAACTGGAATAGATTCATGTCAGCAGTGAGCGCAGCCATTGCAGCAGGATCATGCTCAATCTGGGTTCTCAGCGATGGGTCGATCTTCTCCAAGCGCCGCTTTAGCCTCTTAGCCTCCCTCTCGCGGATTAGCCGTGCCTGCCTCTTCTCGGGTGTCTCGTTGGCCCGTTTGAGTCGCATGGCCTCCCGGTCACGCTGTAGACGACGTGAGCGCTGTTCATCGGTCTCCTGCATCCTTTGCATCCGCTTTGCCTCGCGGTCTCGTAAGCGGCGCACCTCCCGCTCCTCCGGGGTCTCGCATGCCCTCTTGGTCTTCTTGGCCGTTCGCTCGCGTTCCAGCCGCTGCATCCGCATCTCTATGGGCTCGCTCTTCCTACGCATTGCCCATTTCCTCATGGACGGCGACTGGGCATCCACAAGCTGTTGGTAGGCTACGCAGCTGTTGCAGACCAGCAAAACTCCAGCTGGGTACACAGGCATAGGGTTCATGAGGTCTGGAAGAGGTGGAAGGCCTGTGCTGGAAGGACTGAGGCTGTCAGACAGTGAGGGAAGAGGAGGTGCAGATGGGAGAAGTCCATCTGGCAATGAGGTCAGTACAGTACCAGGATTTGTGCTGGGGTTAGCCATAGGGCTTCTGGGTAGAGAGTTGGACATGGCACAGGCCTCACCCTCACTGTTGATCTCTATACTGCTTGTGTCAAGGAATTCCTTCAACTTTCCCCTACAATTTCAGAACAGGAAACTGTTAAGATATAGTTTTTTTTTAAAAAAAAAACAATGAAGCATCCTGATAAAATCATGTCTTGAGCTGACCTGTTGAAGTTGTTGGTGTCTGTGAAGCGAGCCCCACACACTGCACAGTTGGACAGACGGTCCTCTGAATGGATGAGAAGATGGCGGCCAAGAGAGCCTGGAGAACTGAGAGCTCGTCCACAAACAGGACAGATATAACTCTTACTGCTACCCACAGCTGTGTGCTGGTCACAGAAAATAAGACAAGAAATTTCATAAATTCTTCTCAACTTAAAAGAGTAGTTCACTTTAAAAAAAAACTTTTGCTGATAATTTACTCACCCCAATGTTATCCAAGATGTCCATGTCATTCTTTCTTCAGTCGAAAAGAAATGAAGGTTTTTGATGAAAACATTCCAGCATTTTTCTCCATATAATGGACTTCAATGGAAACCAAACGGTTCAAGGTCCAAAAGACAGTTTCAGTGCAAACTTCAAACTGTTCAAAGTGATTTAAACGATTTCAGACAATGAATAAGGGTCTTATCAAGCGAAACGATCGCTCACTTTTAAAAAATAAGTAACAAAGTTTAAGTTTTATAAGCTCAAATGCTTATCTTGCTCTGTACTATGATGCTATGTACTATGATTGTGACTCTCCTGTTCAAACTCGTTTATCACTATGAACAAATCTTTTTTCGTGTCATTTGGTTCATTCAACGAACGAAAATGAACGAGTTGACTCGGGAAAAGATTCGTTCATTTTGATGAACGAGTTCGAACAGGAGAGTCACGAATGCGCATCACAGAACAGAGCAAGGCGACCATTTGAGCATTTTTTTTTTAATGAGGGATCGTTTCGCTTGATAAGATCGAAATATTCATCATCTGAATTCGTTTATAGCCCATTGAACAGTTTGCACTGAAACTGTCTTTTGGACCTTGAATTGTTTGGTGCCCAGGAAAGTGCATTATATGGAGAAAAATCCTGGAATGTTTATCAAAAACCTTAATTTCTTTTCGACTGAAGAAAGAATGACATGGATATATTGGATGACATGGGGGTTGAGTAAATTATCAGCAAAGGTTTTTTCAAAAGTGAACTACTCCTTTAAAGAAACAGTCCAAAAATGAAAATGGTCATCCATTAAATCTCATGTTGTTCCAAACTCATTTGACATTCTTTCTTTCTGGCAATTTTAAATAATGTACTGGTCATTTTTCAAGCATTTACAATGGGGATTAGAGTTTTCAAGCTTCAAAAATGCCCAAAAGTAGCATTAACTTATCATTTAAGGTAGTCTCCATCCATCATAAATGGTTTGAAAAGAGTGATCAGTACTTTATTCAAAATTTCTCCTCAAGGAAGAAAGTATGTTAGAATGACATAAGAACTATTTAAAAAAATTGCTTAAGGCTATTAGGACAGATTTTTTAATAGGACAGATTTTTGCTCTGATTTGCAGTCTGGAGGAGCTAACGCTAGTTGCAGAAAGTCCGAGTCAGTTTGCAAATTTCATAGTCATAGTTGACCGATTTCACAGACGATCGCATAGTGTAGGATTGGCACTTTTTTTTAGCTGAATTTCATCCAGTTAGAAGACAATCAATGTTTGATATGAAGTCAATTTTAGAACTCATTGTTTTTATTTGTCAAGGATCTTGTCAATGTCAATTTTATTTCTATAGCACTATTGATCACAACCATGGTTGTCCAATGTGCTTCCAAGTCTTGTTCAGGACAAACTACCAACTTCTGGTAGTATGATCTTCAGTCATTTAGTGTATGAAGCCCGGTGTTTGTTTGTTACCATATACAAAGTCAACAAGTGTTCAGATTTTAAAAGTTGTGTATTATATTTCAGCATTTAGATGTGCTTCACAATCGGCATGTAATTGACAAGCTTCAAATGCAGTTTGAGTGATCTGATAAACAAAATGTTTTTGGCTCGACATGGTTTTTAATACTGGGTCTTAACCGTCTTAAATATACTAGAGGCTTCAGTAGTCCTCACCTGGTAGACGTGTGCGATGAGCTGATCTGGGCTACTGAACTCCAGGGAACAAAGCGGACAAGCAAAAATTCCTCCCTGGTCTGTCCCCTCTTCGCTCTCCTATCAGACATAATGAACCAACAAAACAGTTAAAAGTCAATGTACTGTCATATTAAATAGTATGATTGAACACAAGTGAAGTGACAAAGCTGATAATGACTGTAGCTGCAGATGACGGATGCAGCACTGGTGTGGTGTGGCAGACAAATGGATCCATAAGCATTTGTGACTCATTCCAACTGTCACTTATACTGGGTTGCTATAGAGCCATGAGTCACCCTATAAAAATATACCCTTAAAGATGTGATGGTGAAGAATTTTTAAAGTTCTACACCTCAAAATGTACGTAAATGTAAATACAATGACAATCATATAGACCCCGCCACTTTTTAGTGCTGCGCTCATTGTGTTCGTTCTTTCAGTTTGTATTGTAAGTATAGCCCGACCGATAAAGGATTTTGAAGGCCGATACCGATACAAATATTTGATGGTTTTAAAATCCGATATACCGATATATCGGCCGATATTATTATTATTTTTTTTTATTTCAGAAACGCACAACAAAATATTAACAGATTTCCCTAACATTAGTTATTTATGAGTTTTAACTAAAATAATATGATCATGCATTTTAAAAAGAAATTTGTATGAAATTTGCAAAATATATGAAAGTTCTGATAAATAAAATAATAATTAGTCCCTACATTGCCTTATAAGCTACCTTATAATTACAATGTCAGCTTGCTTATCCCTTTACCTGCACTTTTTAAATTCTTTCCATCAAGCTACATCAAACCATTTTCAATGATCAGTTGCTGCCTGCCTTCTAAAACCTACTATTTAGCGATTCTAATCTAAATCCATTACAGAACGACAGTCTGCAACGCACACTTGGCGTCGTTGGATTTCACACACGTTTAAAAGAAAAGCTAACTTTTATGCACAAGATACGTTTGATACTTTTTCTCTATGTCTAAATGTTCACTCCTCGCAAGACTAACTTGCATTTTACAATGCAGGGACTGTAACTACAGATATGCTAGTTAGTGTAGAGTGCCCCCTGGAGGACAAACTATACAACTCCAACACTCATGACATGGTTGAAGCGTGATTCGTCCGTTTTTATTTTATTTTTGAAATATTCATTTATCGGCATTATAACTGCCGATACCGATATTTTAGAAAATGCCTAATATCGACCGATAATATCGGCCTGCTGATAAATCGGTCTGGCTCTAGCATGAAGGTAAGATCTTAGGGATTAATGAATGAACTGCTAGTTTTAAAATCTTCCTACTGGCGTTTATGACATCCGCTTCAAACATTAATAATGATAACTTTTGTTAACTCTACAAGTAAATCCACTTCACCAGCCAATTACTCTTCGACAGCGATGCCATAGATATATACAGAGCTACCGCAAACACTGAAGTTCAAAGAAAATTCTAAAGATGGCTGGACGCTTGTTTCTCTGACGCATAAGGTCTATACCATACCTTTTCATTAAATTAAAATTTCTGGATTTCAGGGTGTAAATCTGTTACAAATCTAAAATGTCATCATTTTCAACAGTATAAAGATGTCAAATTAACACTTAAGTGGCTTAAAAACAACAAATAAAAAAGTCACTCTCTTCATTCAAAGCTCTCAACTCAATCTAGTCAGAATCTGTGGGAATCTGAAAATACGAATCTTATGAGTATAAGTCTCTAGGAAGTATAGACCACAAAAATCCAGAGAAATAGAATATATATATATATGCATTAAATGTAACTATTTTAATGGCAAATGACAAATTTACACGTTCAGTACATTACCTTGATGTATACATACAATTATTATAGTAGGCCAAAATCACATATGAAAAGCATGCAAGGCTGGTCATGTTTCCCCAATTTTTTTTGAAAATGAATTAAAATAATAATAATTATATATATATATATATATATATATATATATATTATTATTTTTTATTTAGGACTTTTTGCAAATTAAATTGCAAATCAATAAAATAAGACTGGTCAAGGCTGAACAGTTTTGTGAGGCTCTTTACAGTGAATAAAGTGAGTTGTCTATGAAAAAGCTGGTCATGCAAATCATGTGATAAAGTGATAAAACAAGAAGAATGTAAGATAATCACTAACTCTACTTTATACATTAAACGCGCATAACTCACCTCCTTGACTTCATCCTGTAGTACGAGGCCATGGCCTCTCTTATTACTCATCATGCTGTAATCAGCAGAGGCATTTGAGGAGTCATCCTTATCAAAATCACTATCACAGTCATCTGGCAGTATAGGGAAAAAAAGTTAGATCACATTATCGACGGTGCCATCACAGGTCACCTTGCTTTTGTTTTCCAAGTTTCAACACACGAACAGAACAATCACAATTGTCTTCCTAGATTTTTTTAAGATTTTCTGAGCAGTAAGCAAATATATAAATACATTCACAGATGAAGCCATGTAGCTCACCACTTGTGCTGTCTTGCTCTTCAGGTTCCTGTGAGTTGTTGCTATGGCATTCGCCGTCTTCAATGAAGTCATCTCTAGCGTCCATCTCAAAAGCGTGCTGAGGGCCGGACAACCCAGTCGTGTGAAAAGGCCCTGTGAGTGAAACAACACAGTCACTGAGAATACCACGATATATATATACTGTATAACTAGTTTTTGAGTGGTGCTTGCCAGTACAAAACACTTGCCAGGGCATTGTTATGCAGTTGCTAAGGTATTTTGAGTCTTTTTAGTATATTTCTGGGTGGTTGCTAGGGTGTTGCTTACAGGCCCATGTTAAAAGATCCTAGTTGCACCCAGCAAGTCTGTATGATATTCTAATCTCGAGTCCCTTCACTGTAAGTCTGTAGAATTGTTTGTCTTTTTAATGCCAAAAATATAGATTTAATTTTTATTTGAAATATCATTCATGACTGTAGCACAAATAGTGTGGGACAATTTACATGCAGAGCATTAATACTTAAAGGGATATTTCACCCTAAAATGAAACTGTCATTCCAAAGTTTTAGAGCACAAAAGACATTTTTAGAGTAAGGAAACAGCCATAAGAGATCATGAACGGGTTGGATGACACATTTGCTTCAAACATTTTTGAGATTTTGGAAATGTCTAACTCTGATTTGATCAGAGAGCAACACAAGGAGGCTATAGTGTGTGTGACTTTTGGGCAAAAGTGGTTTCTCAAGCTTTTCAAGAACAGCAGAATTATTGCAATGTTACTTCTTTCAATCTTCCCATCCACTCACATCTGTGACTCATCGTTTTCTATAATGAACATCATCAAGAACCAGGATAGAAACTCCTGGTTTCTATCCTGTACACTGTGCATCGTGATCAGTGTCTCATAATTGCTACAACAGAATATATCCCTAACATCAGGTATTGCTTCGTTCATTTCGTTCGTTGAATGAACCAAATGACACGGAAAAAAGATTCGTTCATTTTGATAAACGAGTTCGAACAGGAGAGTCACGAACGCGCATCACAGAACAGAGCAAGGCGACCATTTGAGCTTATAAAACTTACTTTGTTTTTTTTTTTAAATGAGCGATCGTTTCGCTTGATAAGACTCTTATTCATCGTCTGGAATCGTTTAAAGCCCTTTGAACAGTTTGCACTGAAACTTTCATTTGGACCTTGAACCGTTTGGTTACCAGTAAAGTCCATTATATGGAGAAAAATCCTGGAATGTTTTCATCAAAAACCTTAATTTCTTTTCGACTGAAGAAAGAAAGACATGGACATCTTGGATGACATGGGGGTGAGTAAATTATCAGCAACTACTCCTTTAAGAATGCCTTTATAATGCATTATAAATACAGGCTTCATAGAAAGTGTTACCAAAAAGAATCCCATCAACAGTGTTGCAACCCATCAAAAAGGCTGAATCTGATTAATTTTCAATGAAAAGACTGTATATCAACAACAAGGGCAACTACCGTGTACAGAACAATAGTTGATGCTGCATTATTAACACATTACATACAAGCACACTCCACCTCACGCTCACCAACCCCCACGTTACACGCTGAACCCACAACATACACTGCAGTCCCAGAGGAAAGCAGAGCCTGCATCTCCTGCGCGGCGAGTCCGTGCCTCTAATGTGAGAATCATCTCCTCCAGAGCACTATACGCCCACATGGAGCTGCTTCCCACCCAGCATGCATCCCATTACTGCCATCCACCAAACACCTTCTGCGAAGCCGCTTTATTGAGTAACATGAACGGCAACCGGCATACCAATAAAACCAGATTTGACTGTTTTCTGATGAAAATATGAGAAATGAGTGCAACATGCTACAGTGTTCAGGGAGGTTGACTCTAGATATGAATCAGATCCCTCCTTCAAATTATCTATGGGATATTTTTACCACCTTTTTTATTGTTCACCAGGCAAAAATTTTGTGTGATCTCTTATTTGAGGTAACATCAAAGCTGGGATAGTTCACCCAAAAATGAAAATACTGTCAGTAATTACTAGGGGTGTAACAATATATATCGTGCCACAATATATCACAATACAAAAATGCAAGAATATGTATCGTAGATAGTGACAATAATATGTATCGTGGATAGTCCCCCCAAAATAAAAATTTACTGTTTGGGAAAAAATTTAAGTTTTAGTGTAAGTACTACATTAAACTGCTGTATATAATGATTATAATGTATAATAATGCAATGGGGGAATATTTGTAGGTCCTGATAATGCTAAACGTCTGAGTAAAAAGTGGCCGACTTTATTTTAAATATATAGTCAGTGAAAAAGTGCAAGGATATTCATCTACAATAACTCTTTATTTTCAGCTTCAGAATCATGAATATTGTTATTCTGGTGTCACCATTGCCCTTGGGTTGTAAGCACCAAGTCCAAGCCTATTTATTTAAACCCACAATGCAATATCAAAGGTAGCATTTTAATCAAAAGTACATTTTTGGTTAACCTTTCACCATATGTCTTGGAGTATCGCAATAATATCGTATTGTGAGTTCAGTATCGTGATATGTATCGAATCGTGACATGGAGGGTCTCGTTACACCCCTAGTAATTACTCACCCTCATGTTGTCCAAACACCGTAAGACCTTCATTCATCTTTGGAACACAAATTGAGATATTTTTGATTAAATCTGAGAGCTGGATCACTCCTCCATCCATACTTGTCCATAGGCTTCTTGAGGGATCAAAACTGGCCGACCCAAAAGTTATGAAAGACATCGTTAAAACAGTCCGAGTGACTACAGTGGCTCAATCTTAAGTTTATCAAGCGACAATAATACTTTTTGTGCGCAAAAATAACGATTTTATTCAACTATTAATTTCCTTCTCTGTGGGCCTTGAGATTTTACTTGGTGAAACTACGCAAAGCTTCTAGGTTATACGTCACACGTAGGCTCACTATTGGCCGACGCTGATCATGTGTGTGATGCTTGTGACATACAACCTAGAAGCTTTGCGTAGTTTTTCATTTTCGGGTGAACTAATCCTTTAAGTTGTGAAATATTGACAGTTTCTGGTCTCATTGACTACCATAGTATATATTTTTCCTACTATGGAAGTCAATGAGACCAGGTCTGGTTACTGATATTCTTCTAAATATCAGAAAATGGGCTGAATTGATTCAAAAACAGTAAAACTCAACTGTTTAACTCTGAGGGAGTTGTAAAATGAGCCTATTTCCAAAAAAAGTGGAGTATCCCTTTAAGATAATCTACCTTTTCAGGTGAGAATATCCATTTATGAGCACTATTATAAAACACCTTTAAGCTAAGTGTTTAAAGCTTGCGGTACACTAAAGAATCCATGATCACGGTGTCCCAGAAGTAAATTGGACATTTCATCATAATACAATCTGACATTAATTCTCTTAGCCAGCAATACGATATTTGCAGATACAAGCATGCAGCCATCTTTAGAATATTGTGTTTGAACTTCCGTTTTTTAAAGCATCGAGTAATTATCTAGTGAAGTGGATTTACTTATTGTATTACTACAGTTATTATAAGTATTGTAATGTTTGAAGAGGATGTCATAAATGTCAGTAGACCGGGAAGCTTTTGAAACAAGAGCTTCATTCATAAATCTGTCATGCAAACCGTAAGACAGAGCACAACTCGCACAGAACTAAAAAGGGGTGGGGTTACATAAGGTCTATATCATTAGATATGTTATGCCTATTTTACACACCCAGTAACTTTTTTTGTTAACTCACAAATGCAACCAGATATAACACAAACATTAAATTGAACTCCCTGAAAGTTGCAAACCCTGTATCTCTGACATAATGTATTAACCCTCATATCATTCCCAACCTGTCTGACTTTCTGCGCAACTGCGCAAGAATCTTGGTAACCAAACAGTTCTGGTGACAATTCAATTCCATTGTGCACTCTTAAAAATAATGGTGCTTTGGTTCAATGAAAAACCTTTAACCTCCATGGAACATTTCCATTGCACAAAAGGTTCTTTGTAGTAGAAAAAGATTATCAAATATTCATCACACTAAGAAAAAACTAAGGGTTTTGTGGAACTGAAAATTCTTCTTCTTCGTTAATAAAGGGTGTGTTCAGACTTGGCATGTTAAAACAAACTCTGGTGCGATTGCTGTTGTAAACCCTGTCATCCGAACCCTGGTGCGCACCAAACAAGTGGACCGAGACTTGCTGAAAAGATGGGTTTCAAACTAAATCTGGTGCGGTTCGACTAAAATATTATCTCGACACGCACCAATGACATAAACCAACCAACAACGGGATATGATGTCACAAGATGCGACCCTCAAGCACACCTGTTTTTCCCCATCACAGTTCAGTACAGGCATCAGACCCGCATCTCCTTGCAACAGATCTCGGTTTGTGACGGAGGGATTCCTGCCGCTGTTTCGACTCCTTTACGCAAAGCTCTAGTCTACGTACATACAAGTGCATTTATCCCAGCACACAGCATTGTTTTGGAAGTCCGGTACGTTCCGACGCAATACGTAATAAAAGCCAATCAATCAGGTTGTGAACATATCCATATGCCTTTAGATTCTGTGTTAAAATGCCAATGTGAACACTAAGCGAACCAGGACTAAATCAGGTTTTTTTGGTCCGGACCAAGCGAACCGAACTACAAATTTGAACAAACCCTAAAATAAAAGTTCCAAAGGGTGTTTTTGCAGCAATGCCTTGATGAACAATTTTTGGGACCTGCAGAGCACCTTTCAGTGTAAGTGCCCGTACACACAGGGACGAATATCAGCGTGTGTTATTCGCCAGCGTTTTTCAACGGGTTTTTTGTTCACTCCCAAGCGATTTTTGCTGACGATGAGCCGAGTGAACATGCAAATTCATTCCCTGACATTAGATGATGCTTAACGTAAAACAGAAATAATAATAATAATAGTATACTATTACTATTATTACAGAAATACTAATATAAATTATATTATATAGCTCCGAGACCAGCAGTTCAACATTCATCTTGCCTTGCATCTTCCTCGTCTTCCAGCAGTGCAAATATCTTCTTTGCCGTTACATACTGTATGTGTGCACTGCTCAGTAAGACCGTTTTGTGTTTGAGCGCCCCCAAGTTGTGTTTTACTGTAACTTCAGAAGCTCCAAACTCGTGAGCAAAAGCGGCAATCTCATTGGTTGGATAGTTTATGATGCTGCGCGTCAAACCAAAAAAACGAACCAAGGCGTTTTAAAAAGGCGTTTTTCGCGTCGGTGTGCATACTCAAATTGGCGCCCTTTGTTTAGTCACGAGACCTTAAACGTCGGCGAATATCGCTCGCGAAACCATTTTTTTCTTAGGTTTTAGGGTCTTCATGGAACCACTGATGCCAATAAATCCAAAATCTTTGAATCCATCTTCTACTTTTGTGGAAAGTTGACTAAAGTTGTGTCGCTCGAGTTGTCTTCTCTGATACGGAGAATGGCGGCAAATACACTACCTGCAAGACATAGGCACATAGCCAGGCGAGCGTGAACGCGCATGATGTCACGGCCAGTCTCAGATTCGAGCCCGAATCCCTCTTATTTATTTTACTGTACAGGATTATAGAGGCAATCTCAGTGATCAGAGAAGGGCTCATTCAGCCCATCAGGCGATTGTTTAAGCATGTATGGGTTAGAAAACGGCTATTTTTAACATGAAATGTTGCGCAATGCACCTTTAAGTACCACCGAAGAAAGAAAGTCATTTCTCATATAGGATTGGAACAACTTTAAGCTGAGTAAATAACAACTGATTTTTTAAGTATGAGCAATAGTAATAGTGAGGTGTTCCTTATTAAGGCAAGCGATATATTAGACCAAGTTCAACAAGGACTAGAATCGGGTTTTTCTAGTGTCGCCGTGCAGAACTTCAGGAAGCTTTATTCTATATTTGAGCTCAGATTTCATGAATGACTCCACCACATGTTGTTTTTCCATCTGAAAAACAATAGCTGCCATAGTTTACATCCACTAATCATTAAAGGAGGTTGTCAAGAGTTCCCTTCTTTCCAAGCATCCCCTGGACAGTTTCAAAGAGTGTTTGGGGGCATCTACAAGGACAGAAGATTTTGCATGAGAGATTTAAGCATTAAACTACGAAAGGCTACAACAGAGCGGCTTCACGCCAGTCCGCCCGTGATTGATGGAAGAGAGTTACCCATCCCCCACTGCCAGTTCTGTCTGTACATCTGTCTCTCCACCCTCCCTCCGTCTTCTCCCTTCCATCCACCCTCGCTCCCCCTCTGTGTGCCACTGTGATGTTATCTCAGAGTCTGTGTGTCTGTAGGCAGGAGGTGACGCAGTGTCTGTCTGAATCCAGACAAAGAGACAAACTCATCATCCAACAGACACATGAGAGAAAGGGTAAAGTCAGAGGAGGGGGGTGGGAACGAAACAGACAAACAGAGGCAAAACTTAACTCGGATACCAAACAATGAGAGCACTCCTGAATTCAAACCATCCCCTCGCACACTGTCTAGTTTGGTAGGGTTGAAGAATGGTCATTGACAGACATCAGATAAACCTAGACAACCAATTCAAGACTCACTTTGCCTAACTGACAAAAGCAAGGCATGATGGAAGGGCATGATCACTCATACATGTTCCCATTGAATGAAATTTCCCACATTTCCCCCAGTTTCTAGAACCAAGAATCAATTTGGGAGGAAAAAGACAGAGCATTATTTAGTGTAACGTTTCAGTCTTTCATCAGGTCTGAAAATCTTTACCTCATGTCTGCAGATAAATATGGTATACTTCTTGAACACAACTGGAAACTAATATAAAAAGGGTTATTTATTGCCATCCATGGTTCCATAAAGAACCTTTAACATCCACAGAGACTTTCCATTGCAAAAAAAGTTCTTTATGGTGGGAACCAAAAAAAGTTATTCTATGGCATTGTTACATATGAAACCCCCCTTTCGGAACCCTTTTCCGAAGAGTTTATGGGTGGCCAAACTGTTTCCATATATTACCCAACTCTTTAGAATATTTAATTCTGATTTATTAAAAGTGGAATTTAGTAACATTTCTAAATAATGACAACTGTAATACTGGAAACCTGTTTCTTAGATAGCTATGCTTGTGTCCTGTCACAGCACTGTCTCTACAAGTAAAGTAAAATAAGTAAACAAGGACAACAATTTTACTTTAAGGCAAAAATAAAAATTGTGTAATAAGAGATATAATGAACAGCTTGAGCAAATTACTGTACATTATTCTGGACATTTAAATATGTTTTATGTTGTACATTGCTACATGAGTTAACTTCTATACAACCACTGATAAAAAAAAAAAAACATTTATTGAAACTAGGAAAGACGCACTCATCTTTATTTATTCAAGCAAGACAATTAATTAAGAAAGACACATATTATACAAATAATTTGTGTAGTAAATTAATAAGCTAGTTCTATCAAAACGATTAGGCTAGGCTAGTCACGATTAATCTCATCCAACAAAAGTTTGGGTGCATTTAAATATATATTAGTGGTGTCAAATTGATTAATTGCATCAAATTTAAACGTGTTTATATATGTGTGTGTGTGTGTGTATATGCACAAACACAGACACATATACACATGTATTTTATAAACAAACTTTTATGTTAGATGTGATTAATCGCGATTAATCGATTTGACAGCACTAATTTAAACAGAATTCGGATAAATTTCTGATGTTATCTAGGTGAAATCAGATATCAAACAGTAGGCCTACAGTAAAAAAGATTAAAAACTTATTAAAAGCATACATAAAAAACTGGTTGCAATATTTTCACAGGCGGTTTATATTTAAAGACTATTATTTAAGGTTATGTAGGTTTCACTATCTCTTCTCAATTTACATCACTGTGATATTATCAGAAGTGCGTGCATGTGAGGATATTGTCAGTACAGAAACATCTTCAGGGTTCAGGTATAAGGCTATATTTAGTGAGGTTAATTTACACACAGTCTCTCGATTCGGTTTTACGCAAGCTGATATCGTGACCATGTTGTGATGATAGTGTGTGTGTGAACGCCTGGCCTCTGGCTGTTGTCCTCGTACAGTAAAATGCGGATGTAAGACTTCACCAAAGCAAACAACTCAATGCCACAGAGTATCACGAGGACTCGGGCTTCCCTACATGCTGGTCACTATCACCTCCAGGAGACAAAACGCCTGCTTTTGCACGAACTAGTAAATGAAAAGTGTTTACAATACCTGGGATACCTACAATTCACTTTGAAAGGGTTGGTCTGTTTTCGTCTTGACATATTATCCCCCACTCCCGGATGAAAAAAGTCGAATCTCTTCTCTGATCCGACTGATGTGTGAAGATGTTTCTACAATCCGAAGGGAAATGTTTTAAAGCAGACAACAATCCAGAAACAAAACGCTCCGAGCGGACAGAACTGAGCACTAATCGGCTACATTGGCCAGCGCGATTAGGTTCATTTGACTAAAAGACAATCAAAGATCACTTCTGCGTAATCAGACATCTTGGTCTTGGTCGGCGATAAGAGCGTGTTCATGTCGATAGAGGTCGGTTTCCAAACATAAGAGATCGGGAAATATGTGAGGAGATGATGTGAAAGCCTGCGCCAATGTAGCCAGGCAAATACACTGCAGAGAATCTCCACCGACATGCATTTCAAGCGATGAGCTGAAGTGAGAAGAATGACTAATTTTATCATCTGCCTTCTCCTGCTCATGCGCGAAACACTGCGTTCCTACAGGGGGCGCTCTGTGGCTCACAAGCTATGTTCACAAGACTTACTCACCCGATCAAATACATTGAAATCTCAGGACGTGTTTTGTTTATTTACAAACATTTGTACACTTATAAACATTATAATGTATATTTTCTAATGTCACCTGTTGGTATTAGCCTTTCATTTTTCGAATAAGCAGTGATTGGTTCATCCACAACAGCGCAGTCGCATGAGTTCATCTTCATCTTGGATCAGTAGGCTACAGTGAGAAAAGTAACATCCAAAGTGGCTGATACTGGCTTGTGGCTATAATATACAAACTATTAATTAACTATTAATTATAATAGAGATAACTTCTTTGCGCTTTTCTCCTCCTCTTTTTTTCATCAATTTTGCAAATTTCCTTTCTGTTTTTTCATTTCTATGATTTGTAAGCCGGTTTGGTTTCTAAAAGAAATAACGAGACGCATTGTGGGATACACGTTGATGTGGAGGACCATGCCGTTTTTCTTTATAGGCTACATAATGTGGCCTACTCGATTAAAACATCTATCTATCTATCTATCTATCTATCTATCTATCTATCTATCTATCTATCTATCTATCTATCTATCTATCTATCTATCTATCTATCTATCTATCTATCTATCTATCTATCTATCTATCTATCTCTGTCTGTCTGTCTGTCTTTCTGTCTGTCTGTCCGTCCGTCCGTCCGTCCAGAATAATATAAATATTTTTATAGCCCATGCTTTGCCTGTACTACTTAGTCATTTTTAAACTCCCATAAAACTCCCAGACAAAACATTTTCTACACTTACAGATTAGATACAACTTTATGGACAGGTATTTGCATACCTTTTAGCCGAAAAAGAATTTTAAAAAAAGAACCACACTTTTTAACATGTAATTGTTAGATATTGGATATGTATTCAACAACAATACATCTCAGTCATGCATTTGCAATAATTTGGGATATAAAAGAGATATTTGATGGGGGTGTAACGTTATCCTCATGTCATGATTCGATATGTCATGATAGTGACCTTTTTACGATATTATTTTGATGGAATATATGGTAAAAGGTTAACAAAAAAAAAAATGTACTGGTGATTAAGATGCTAAATTTGGTATAACATTCGTTGTGGAAATGAATAGGCTTCCAATGCACAGGACGATGGTGACACCAGAACAAATATAGGCTATTAATGATCCTAAAGCTGAAAATACAGAATTATTTTAGATGAATGCTTACTCTGTCATTGATATATTTAAAATAATGTTGGCCTCTTTTTACTGGTAAGAGAAGACATTTGGCAAATATTCCTCCATTGTATTAAATTTTAATGTACGGACACTTAAACTCTGTAAACCTGAATTATTTCTCACACAGTAATTTCCATTTTGGGTATATATAGGTCTATCCATGATATGTTGTTGTATTTTAATATTCTGCAAGGTATATTTTAGCAATGTGTTACTGTAAACAGAAAACATTCCTTGCCATAGATATTTATGAAATAGATGTAGAATGGATAATTTTTTCATGTGATTGCTCACATGATGAAAGAATGTTTAAGAGTTATTATGACAGTTTTACTGAGAATCAGCTAATCTGTTTATATAATCAGTTCGAGACAATTTTGCACACTTGCCAAAATGTGTAATTTGAAACATTTTTTAAATGTGATGTGAACAAGAAACTACTGTATTTGTTCAGATATCTGAACTACAGTTTTGAGAAATATAATAGAGAGAACATTATAGGCTATAAGTAAATATATTTGTGTTATTTAATTATAATAATTATATAAAAAATGCTATACAAAAAAAGAAGAAAAAAAAAAGAAAGAAAAACCCATATGTAGCCTAACTAAATCAGCATGAAACAGAAGTTGCTTTAGTTTTTTCTTCCAGATTGTGACGTATATCTGGGTTCTCGAACAAGCAAAAATGTAGGGCAGCACTAGATTTTGTCCATTGGGAATTGATTGGATGGTTGTGGTTTGTTATTTGTGGATCTTTTGAGTGGCAGGTTATTGCCCCACCCTTGCACAAGTTAACACATCATCAAAGAGGTAGGGGAAGTTAATTTTAATAAATGATGTATTTAAAATAAATAAATGTGTACTGATGAATCATTCATAATAAATACTGCAATATGCTTATTTAGTATGCATACATTTTTTAATCAATTTTGATTTCATTGTGATTTTGAAAGTCAATATATTTCAGAAAATATTTGAATAATTTGCTTTGGCTTTGGCCGTGACAATGTAAAAGCCAGTTATCTGACTTTGGAAATGACATGCTGCAATACTTCACCACAAAATTCCTCGTCAGGTCGACCAAACGACCCCTGGCTTACTAAAGAGAACCAGTTCAGTGACTCCCAAAGGAAGTGCCACAACATTGCACGCTGACGTCATCACTGACTGCCACGAGGTGAGGTAAGACCGCAGCACGGCTCTTTCAATTCACGGCAATTCATCCGCCGAGCTGACACGTAGATCAGCGTTAAAATACAACTGTACTAGATTGACATAATATGAAAACGGGCACAGTATCACGAGTTTTCCAGTGAGCACAGCTTGGGATTTATATATCTTGTTAAAGTACTTGATAATAAACCACGTCTATGCAAAACGTATTCCTTATTTGTATTCTCTTTATAATAGGCTGCTTGATAACGCTGTTGTCAATACTCACAAATCCTAGTTCACAGCATTATCATCAGTGCTTATTTATAAATAAAAATAATAATATAATAAAAACTAAAAGCCATTAAAAAAAACATTAATATGAGGTCATTATTGAGAATTTTTTTTACATTTCTAAGATTTGTTTTGCCCATAATAAATATAACATTTGAATTATAGTCTACAAAAAAGACAGTAGAGGATTCATACCTAAAAAAATTACTAAGTTAATGTACTGAATCCGAGAGTTGGTGTTGTAATAAAGAAAAATAACTAACTAAAAATATGATATTTTAGAGACAGGTGGGCCTACATAACTCATGTCATTTTTTAAACACAAACACAAACGATGTTCAATGGGCTTTTTTGTGTAACAGAAACAGTCTTTTTGGTTTGTAAAGTGACCAAATCATATTCTAGTTGACATCCATTGAAAATAAGTCATTCTACCAGAGCTTTTTTAAACGTCATTATTCATGACCAAAACAACTCAATTTTGAAATTATAAGTTGTATTAGGAATTGTACCAACAATAAGACACAGAAAAGCATATATATGAGATTAAACGTTGGGAGTATTTTTTTTTTAGATTTCAAAGAATTTCTCATAATAATAGATTTACTACGAGAGCAGGCGCGCCTTCTTACATCCGCATTTGAAGTTCGGAACATCATTTATGTAACCTTCCGCCTGCGGTAGAAGTGCTGAGGCTGGGACCGCCGCCATTTTGAATGTCTGGTCCGTTCCTCCTTCCGTCGATTGAGAAGATTGCACTTGTTTTCTGGTATCGTAACGGCTGGTGAGTCGAACCTTATTTTAATCGTTTAAACGATTTCAGTTATGATTGGTACGTTCTGAGCTACCAAGCTGCTAATTTTTTTGGGGTTAGGTAGTTTTGACTCTGTTCTGCATGGGAAGTGGAGCGCACAGGCTAAAGCTAAAGCATCTCGCGAGCCTCTCGCTCGGTGGCGGCGCTCTGCGCGTGCACCGGGACGCTGTCATAAGCTCTAGCACTAACGGTCGCCCCTCGCTAAACTATCATTCTCGCTGTATTTCCACAACGACGTTTCGCTACCAGGCGTGAAATTCCAATTACACTGTAGTTTATGAACGTTTCAGTGGGTTTAAAGTAGATGTGTGTGTTTAATCCTCCGTCAAACCTACGCTCAATTTGAGGCCTGATGAGATTCCAGTCAGTTAGCAACGGACACGCAGCACTTCATTCACCGACATTGTGAAGGAATAACAGCGGTACTTAATACTTCATAAGGTTTGATTCTATTCGTGAAAAGTACTGTAATGTACCCATTTTTTAACCATAACGTAACGTCGTCTCATCTCAGTGTTTATCATTTAGCTTAGCACTATTGGCTTGACGTTATAGCGCAAGTGGATGGATCTAGAAACATAAACCTTTAACAATCTCTCTGAATACGATATAAAACCAGTACTTCATTTTCACCCTGACTGTTTTAAGGTTAAGAATACGAGGTGTATGATGCCACTTGTGTGTTTTTTAGACTTTAGTCACCAGGTGGGTTTGAGAGAGATGTGAAATCGTTCTTGATGTTGAACTTCATACATAGTAACGTTATGTTGTTAATGCTGTTCAAAGTGTTGTCTCTGTCATATCTTTACACCCGTTTTGCTGGTAGTGGATATGAATGACGTGTTGGCATCTCTTTATTGTGATTGTGGAGTAAGGTTACAGAAATTAAGGAAGTGACCGTCTGTTAATGTGTCCTCCCAGTCACTGCTGCAGTTTGCATGATTCCTGGCTTAGATTTGCATTCTCTGTCCACGCCAAGAGTTTTTTTTTTTTTTTGGTTAATGAATAATTTAAAAGTTGCACCTAAGATTTCATATTCAATCTATTATTAGACTATGAAAGGTTTAGTTCACCCATAAATTATCCCATCATTTACTCACCCTCAAACCATTCTAGGTGTGTATGACCTCTTTCAGCCAAAAAATATTCTGGTTCTTCCCAGCTTTTTAATGGGAGTGAATGGTACCACAGATTTTGATGCCCCAAAAAGCGTCCACCTATCATAAAAATAAGCAATACGGCTCCAGGGGGTTATTAAAGGCCTTCTGAAGCGATGCATTTTCGTAAGAAAAATATCCATTTTGCTATTTGTGGATCTTATGTGAGTGACAGGTTATTGCCCCACCCTCGCACCAGTAAACACATCATCAGAGAGATGTCGCTCCAAGAGGTAGGGGAAGAAAAATATCCATATTTATAACTTTAGAAACTATAATCACTAG